GCAGCCCTCAGCCCCCAAAACCGCCACGCCCCTCGAGCACATCCTGCAGACACTTTTTGGGAAGAAGAAAGCTTTTGAGCCTCTCGCTAAGGACTCGGAAACTGCCCAGTCTTCAACTCAGGAAGGGCAGGCCGCTGCCGAGGTGGGCGTGTCGGCTGTGCCCTTGTTGGATCCCATTGTGCAGCAGTTTGGCCAGATGTCGAAGGACAAAGCTATAGAGGAGGAGGAGGACGACAGACCCTATGATCCTGAAGAAGAGTATGGTCCAGAGAAAGCTTTTGAAATGCAGACCGGTGAGAGCGAAAAAAGATTCGCTGTGGAAAAGACATCTAATATAGCAGAGCTAGAGGATGAGGCCTACGATCCAGAAGATGAAACTATCTTGGAAGAAGCCAAAGTTACTGTTGATGATTTACCCAACAAAATGTATACGGACACTAAAAGCAATTCTTCAGAAGCATCTGCTTCGTACGTGCCTGATTTGTCTGCGTCCTCGTCCTTGGTAGAGCAGCAAAAAATGTTGGAAGAATTAAACAAACAAATCGAGGAGCAGAAAAGACAATTAGAAGAACAAGAAGAAGCCCTCAGACAACAACGAGCAGCTGTCGGTGTTTCCATGGCTCATTTTTCAGTGTCTGATGCTTTAATGTCACCACCGCCTAAATCTTCCCTGATAAAGGCTGAATTATTCCACCAGGACCAGCAAGCTCCACAAAAAGTAGATTTACCTTCATCTTTAAATCAGCAAGCACCAGTTCTGAGCCAGGGCTGTGACCCGAGGCAGAGCAGAGATCCTCGGCAAGCTAGGAGAATGGTGACAGAGACCGGTGACAGCGCTGACTCTCGACTCAAGCCCCAGGTGGCACCGAATGAGATGCCCGCGAGAGAAATGGCTCCAGCAAGTTTTCCAAATGCTCTGCCGACTTCCCTTGGTAAAGAAGATCAAACTTTAATCTCTGCTGCTCAGCCTGCTTTTAGTGGTGATAATTGGGTTTCGAGTGACAAGGCTTCTACGGTGCCCCAGAAAGAGGCAGCTAACAGCGTATTTGAAAACACTGTTCAAGTCACCTTGGAAAACGTGAGTCAGACAGCTCCTGGAGAACCTTCTGCAGCCAAACCTTTACGTAAAGTGCTGCTACCAACCCCTCCAAGCACATCTTTTCAGCCCAATTTCTCCACGTCAAACAGTCAGTCTTTGCAAGATATGCATCAAGTGGCGTGGTCGAATGAGCCCAAGGAAGCAATGGGAAGGGATTCTTTTTCAAATGCCATGTTTACTTCTCAGGAAAATGCAGCTGGTCACTTTGAACCAGAGAGAGGTCTTTCATCAGTGCAATACGACGAACAAAGAAATCCTCAGTCTCACCAGTTTGTAGAACAAACTGAATCTCCATCAGTTCAGAGTGAGTGCGGACCTTCCCCGCAGCACTTTGAAGAAAACCAAGGTGTGCCTCCATTCTCTTTGTCTGGGCAGAAAGGAGGGCCCCCAGCACCAGTGATGCTCAATGCCCCCGGAGGACCTCATGGACCTAATTTCAGAGGGCCAGCACCACAGTTCTCTGAAGAGCACGATTCTCCAAATAACGATGGGCAAAGAGGGCCTCCATCTGGAAGGTTTGGAGGTCAAAAGGGTCCCATTCCTTCCTTATTTTCTGCACAGCATGGACCACCCTCTCTTTTCGGTGATAACAGAGGCCCTGCCCCTTACCATGGTGTTCCAAGAGGAATGTCACCATCTCAGTTTGAAGATTGCAGGGAGCCTCACATGGAACAAAGGGAATTCTCAGATTCCCAATACAATGAAATGATTAGGCCTCCAGGACAGTTTGAAGGGCCAGATGCACCTCAGTTTATGGGAAACAGAGGACCTTCACCTTTTCCTTTTGGAGGGCAGAGACGACCCCCACCAGCTCAGTTTAAAGGACAGAGAGGAGGCCCTCAGTTTGGAGGGCCAAGAGGTCCAGCCCCAAGTCATTTTGGGGGACCAAGAGGGCCTCACCCAAATCAATTTGAAGGCCAGAGAGGTCCAGCTCCAAACCACATGCCTGGTCCAAGAGGACTTTTGCCACAGCCATTTGAAGAACGGAGAGGGAGTCCACCACCCAGATTTGCCAACCAGAGAGGTCCAGCACCGGTTGGAGGCCAAAGAGGAGCCACACCAGCGCTCTTTCCAGAAGAAAATGAACCTCCCTCTTCTAGATTTCATTTCCAAGGTCAGTCATCACAAGGTATGAAGCCACCCCCAAGACCACTCCTGGACCTTCCAAGCCATCTGCCATCCCACAGAAAAGAGATGTGGGAGGAGGCTGGACCGTCCTCATCCCTTTCCAATATTTCTGGACAAGGGTCCGATTCGGAAGGACAGTGGTCGGCGTCTGACTTCCGAGAAGGCAAAAATCCTGACTTTAGGGGCCAGGCGTTTGAAGGGCGACAGAGAGAGAGATACGAGGGAGGGAATAAAGACAAGGGCGTGGATCAGCCAGAGCCTCAGCAGGCAGATAATCGCCAGGGCCGGTCCTTCGAGGAGAGACGAAGGGATCGAGAGCACGGCAGACCCTGGGAAAGAGACCGCGGCAGGAACTGGAACAGGGACAGGGACTGGGAGAGGCACAGGGACAAGGAGTGGGATAAAAACAGGGACAGAAACCAAAACAAAGACCGAGAGAAGGACTCCGAGCGGGCTAAGGAATGGGACAGAAACCGAGACCGAGAGAGAGCAAGAACCAGGGAGAGGGAATCCTACAGGAGACGTGATCGAGAGCGCTCCCGGAGCAGGGACAGAGACCGCGAGCGGGAGAAGGACCGGGACCGGGACCGGAGCAGGGAGAAGGAGCGAGAGAGAGACCGGGAGCGGGACCGCGAGAGGGACAGGGGCAAGGAGCGCAAGGATCGGAGCAAGAGCAAGGAAACGGGTAAGGAGGTGAAGCCAGAAACACCGAAGGAAGCTCAGAAACCAACAGAAACAGAGGCTTCATCTTCTACTAGCCAGTCATAGAAATACGACTGCTCTGATCTATCCCCCATAAACAATATCCTTGTAAAACACAGCGAGGACTGAGAGCATCTTCTGTATATAGTGTATATATTCTCACCCTTCCCAAAATCCTCTTGTAAAACTAGCCTTACAAAACGTACTGACAAATGAGCAATTTTTGAACAACTGTGAATGGAACTACTCGAATCGATGAAAGGCAAGGACATACTGGACTTTGACTTGCTGCATTTTGTGCATAATGTTTTTCTTATAAAAATTCACAGCGTTACCTGTACTGAAATTTTGTTTTTCTACTTGCATCTTTATCTTAAAATTTCCATTTACAGTACAGAAATGGAAAAAGTCTAAGAAGAGCATATTGCTTTTTAAGATTATAAAGTTATGTTTTCCAGTAACTTGAACTGTAATTTTATAACGGAATTTAATCCAGACCTTAGGAGCCATACCTTTACATCTCATTTAGGTGATATTTTGGTGTCAAAATTGTTCCTACAGCACACGCTTTAAAAACCAAGAGTCCAATGTTGCTGTCTTGTTTATTTTACAACAGAAGGGCCATGTGTATTTAGGAGAAGGCTGCAGAAGAACAGTGTTAAAAATTACTTGTGACTGACAGAGGATCTGAAAACACAATGCTATAAACTTAAAAGTGCACTATCTTCCTTTCTATATACAGGTATTTTGTGGTTTGGAATCCATCAAAGTGTACAGCAAAGAAACAAGTATTTAGAGTTTTTTGTTTTTCCATGAGCCCAGGGGTTTTAAATGTCACTTTTTTACAAATCTGCCATTAAAGAACATAAATGAGTGGCACTTTTAGAGCCAGCAAAACTTAGAAAAACATCAGACGTATTTAAAAAAAGCCAGGATTAACTGGTCCCCCAAAGGCAAGAAGAATAAATTGGTTAAATAGGCCACTACATGCACTACTTTGAACTGTTTTTGTTGTTTTCTTCTATTTTTTTGCCAAATTTTGCCATAGACTTAAGAAATATTCCCATTTTATGGTACTTCTCACCCAAAAAGTGTTTTGCTCCAGAAAAAAAAAAAAAAAAGTGTCACTGGTTATTTTTTGTTAGACCCTGCTTAGTCTGGTAGTGTATATAAAACTCCACTTCAAAAGGCAGAGCTGCATGGAGCTGGGAAAGCAGAGTGGTGGGTACTTCATGGGGTGGTTCAAGAGGGAAGCTTCTCACTGGCTACTTCTCATGTATTCTTCAAGTATTCCTTCTAAAGCATAAACTAAAACCCCGCTAATTTATTTGACCCTGTAAATTAACAGCCGAGTAAATATTTTGATATTTTTTATAAAATAGTTTGGGAAATGTAAAATTAGATCCCTACGAACAACTGCAGCTTGAGGGCTACACTACAAGTAGCACGTGTGCCATGGATCTCACCACAGATCTCACAGCTCATCTTCCCACAGCAAGCATTTGCTGGTTCAAACAACCATCTGTGTTCTGAACCCGCAGAGAGAATGTTGAAATCCAGAGAGGTGGAGTTAAATTCAAACATCTACTAGGGTGTAAGGTTATTCTGTTTTGTTTTGTTTTTTCTTAATGAGATGTTTCTAATTTAAAGACATAAAAGTATGCAAAAAGCAAGTGTGTTTGTTTAGGTTTACTTGATAGAAATTTCTGTAAATTGTATTTTATATGGCAAAATATGTGACTGTACATTAAAATACAGGAATTCACAGGTTTTTGTTACTGTAAGTAGAATAAACATCTACAGAGAACTGTTGCTCATTTCTGAAATCTGTTGGAGTATATTATTTTGTAAATATTGCTGCTTCCCAAGCCACAAGAGACTGGTGGCACAGGGCTTTCATTTCCTCACTGTTTAACAGAAGACATCACTACCCACTGACATTTAATTGTAGACAATCTAAAAAGCATAGGAAAGCACGTGCTTATGACTTTTCCCTCAGTTCTGAAACATCCCCTAATTTATTCCCAAGGGGATTTTTATTTGAATTAGGAATTTCATAGATTTCACACCAAGAAATCTAAAGAAAAGAAAAAAATACTAATTCAGGACAATTTCAACTTATGAAAAACTCAATTCACGCCATTTATGAATTCCTTGACTTGACATTTTACAGAATAGATGAGTGGATTTTTGTCCCTCAGGAGGTGCTCCTGTCACAGGTCAGTTTGGAGAATCTGGTCACAGTTCAGGAGCAGCAAAGGCTCCTACAGATGTGTGGCAAAACCCCATGAGCATACAGAGACACTAAGGAGTTAGTTTTTTAAACCACAGCTTTATATAATTTATAATGACCTGGACTTGAATTTTGCAGCAAGGTTCCTGTGTTCTTCCCTGCAGCAAACAGCGAAAGCTAGGCTGAAAAGAACAATCTAACTCAATTTACAGCGACTAAAAATAGTACTGAATTATTATTATGTGTTGCAAGAGAGAGAAAACAAACAATAGCCTGGCTTTGTCCAAACTTTTGGTTAAGATGAAAGTAGTTACTATTTTGAGTTTTTATCTACTTTTGTACTAAGCAAAATTAACTTTCCAAAGAGCATTTTGCTAAATTTTTACACAAAACCCTCTGAAAGGTCTAGAACAATATAAGCAGAAAGATTAAATCTATAGAAGGCTGTATATTCCAACTTTATGCATTCTGAAGGAGAACAAGCAGAAGGATTAGAGGAGAAACAGATTTTATTCTTTTTTAACCTCCTGAAGGGAATAAAGATTTCATGAATAATTGATTTTTTTAAAAAAATATATTTTATTCTGTTTATGAGCTGCAGTAGCATTTTTGTGCCTTTCATGCTCTGGCTTGTTTCTAGAATGTGTCTGCTGTGACTGTGTCTGGTTTTGACACTAAGATACACAATTAGTAGGAGACACGGGATGTACAAACGAGCCACTTGCAGTCATGAGGTGCCTGTTGTGGAGGGAGCGATGCTGTGGATGCCTCCAGGTGGTCTCTGTGTGGAAGACCTCCTTGCATCCAAGCCCATTTTCATGATAATACAAGTTCTGAAAAGATGGAACTTTTCAAAGGGGCTGTCGGTGAGCTTTCTATCAAAGAACATTTTTTAAACACTGCAAACTAGTGAAGTGTTTATAATGCAGTAACAATTTTCCAATAGGAAAGCTAGGGTCGTGGCTTTGGGGATGGGAGCCTCCTGCCTCCGGTGCTTCGGA